ACTACTACTACTACTACTACGACTACCACTACTACTAAACTACTACTATTACTACTACTACTACTACTACTACTACTACTACTACTACTACTACTACTACTACTACTACTACTACTACTACTACTACTACTACTACTACTAATACACTACTACTACTACTACTACTACTACTACTACTACTACTACTACTACTACTACTACTACTACTACTACTACTACTACTACTACTACTACTACTACTACTACTACTACTACTACTACTACTACTACTACTACTACTACTACTACTACTACTACTACTACTACTACTACTACTACTACTACTACTACTACTACTACTACTACTACTACTACGACTACTACTGCTACTACTACGACTACTACTACTACTAGTACTACTACTACTACTACTACTACTACTACTACTACTACTACTACTACTACTACTACTACTACTACTATTTTTCCTCCTCCTCCTCCTTTTCCTCCTCCTCCTCCGTCTCCATCTCCTCCTCTTCACCCTCCTCCTCATCTTTCTCTCCTCCTGATCGAAGATACCATGCTCGTCGGAGATGACTTCCCAGAACTTCGCGCCTCGGGAGTAGGAGGCAAGAGCGGGACGAGGAGGAGAGGAGGATGGGGAACATAGCCCAACGAGGTGCGAGCTTGCAGCGCCGGGGGTAACTGGATGACTCTGGTGCGGCAGCGGCCCTCGCTGAGGTGGCGGCCGACAGTTTGCTGCGCATCCGCGCTGGTTATACACCCCCATCCTCCCTGGGCCACCACCAGAAAGTTCGACTCCGCTCGCCGATCTGGTTTCCGCACTGGCCGCCCTGGATGTGGACGAGCTCGCGCATGGCTCCGAAACGCACGTGCGGGGGAGGGCCGCAACGGGCAGTGTCGCTGCTCGAGGCGGAGTGGCTCTGGACGGGGCGGGAGGAGAGCGTGGCCCACCCTCCTCCTCCTCCTCCTCCTCCTCCTCCTCCTCCTCCTCCTCCTCCTCCTCCTCCTCCTCCTCCTCCTCCTCTGTTGCCACTGCGGCCCCCTGCGCGGCAGGAGGGCGTCCTGCTCCTCCTCCTCCTCCTCCTCACCCTCCTCCTCCAGTCGGATTTGTCGCTCGTTTGATGTGTCCCCTCGGGTTTTCGGGCCTCGACTGATCGCTCGGTCGTCTGTCCCACCGCCGTGTCTCTTCTCTGGCCCTAGCCCGTTCGTCGTTTCGGGCACTCGTTCGGTCCCCGCTCCAGTTTAGCGCTTGACTACAAACCACGTCCTGACAAAAATGACCATTCTCCATCGCAGCCTTCCCTTCTCGACGTTGTCGTCCTCCACTCCCTCCTCGCCGCCTCCTCCACCTTCATATTTTCCTCCTCCTCCTCCTCCTTCTCCTCCTCGTCCTCATCCTGAGGACGCATCTGGGAGTCCACCACTCGTGGTTGGTAGGATCGAACACACGCTGGAGGACGAAGATGGAGGGGGACGAGGGAAAGGACGACGAGGACGGAGGAGTGGAAGGAGCATAAGGAGCCAGATGGAGAAGAGAGGCAGAGGCGTGCACGGAGCATGGAGGAGAGAAGCCAGGAGGGGCGCAGCGCAGGTTTCAAGAAAGCGGCGCAGGCCTCCCGAAAGTTGATGCTTATGCCGTGCCTTCTTCGACACGACCACGAAAGCCCCAAAACGGGCCGACTGGCGCCCGTTCGTTGTGAAAGTTTGCCAGGGATTCACGGGTCGATGGCGGTCCGTTTTCAAGATGTGGCTACCGCATTAGCGCGGGGCGCATCTGCATCTGTCTTACAGTTTGCAAGAGTTTCACTGATGGAGGGCGGGCCGGTTTCCAAACTGTGGCTCTCATCAAAGAGCCGCGCGCGTCCGTCTCAAAAGCTGCCAAGAGCTTCACGGATGGAGGGCGGCTCCTTTCCAAAATGTTGCTCTCGCCAAAGCGCCGCACACAGTTGTCTTAACAGTGTGCATCAGTGTCACGGATTAGTACCACTGATGTCCCAGAAAAGGTGTTCTGCCACGACTTAGGACTGTCAGGACGCGACAGTCACGTTGATTTGCGGTGGTGGGGTCCCAGGAATAATGTTCAGGCACGGTTGCAGATCTACAGACGGTTGTCTTCCAACGGAACATTTCCCGCAGTGAACAAACATATTTGTAGGGACCTATGAAATTGGGAACTTGGAATGAGGGTTTGTTACGACATCGTTGATGAGTCTGGGGTTTACAATGGTCCCGCTCCTCCCCCTCCCCCTTCCCCTCCTCCTCCTCATCCTCCTCCTCCTCCTCCTCCCCCTCCTCCTCCCTCCTCCCCCTCCTCACCTCCCCCTCCTCCCCCTCCTCCTCCTCTCCTCCTCCTCATCCTTCTCCTCCTCCTGCTGCCTCTGTCGATTCGAACCCGAGGATTCGAGGACGCGAGGTCCGAAGACGAAGTAGGAAGCACCAGAACTCGAGGCGTTCCTCGAGGCTGCAGAGGCGGGCCACGATTCGCGTCCAAGATGGCACCGAGACGGCCCCTTCGAGGGCCCCAGGACGGCCCAGAAAGAGAGAGCCCCAGGGGCACCCCGAGACGGCACCCAAGGAGGGGCACACTGGAACCCCAAGAATGCCCGACAGGAGGCCCGGCTGGGGGGCCCAGACGAGAAAGAGGAGGAGAACGGCGGAACATTGTGGGACGTTTGGCAAGCACGGGCGTGCAGAGGGCAGGGGCAAACGGGAGAGACACAATTCCACAGATATGGGCTCCCCCATATCCCAAGATGGGGACATTGTTATTACTGAGACGCCACCGACTCCTTCACGCACACCTTCTCCTCCTCCTCATCCTCCGACTCATCGTTCAGCTCATACTCCGACTCACTCACACTCAGACTAAGTCGGCCCAGAGTCACTCACACTCATACTTACTCACGCTCAGACCCACTCACACTCAGACACACTCGCATTCAGACTCACTCTTGCTCAGACTCATGCATACTCAGACTCACTCACGCTCTGACTCACTCATACTCAGACTGACTCACACTCATACTCACCCACACTCAGGCTAGGATTCAATCAAACTCAGACTCACTTACTCTTACACGCACTCACTGACTCACTCACTGACACTCAAGACTCACTCACCCTCATAGTCAGACTCACTCATACTGAGACTCGCAGAGCGCGAGGATATCTTAGGCGAGGCGGTGGTTGCAGCACTCGCAAGGGGGGAGCCGCTAGTGTGTTTGCACGGGCCTGGTTGCGCCCAAACCGCGGGGATGTCTCTGGCAGTTTGTCTGTTTCGATGCCCAGACTCGTCTACTTTCAGAGCAGATTGTGAGGATGTCTCAGGCGAGGCGCTGCTTCCAGCACTCCCCAAGAGGAGCCGCCAGAGTGTTTGCACGGGCCCGTTCGCGCCCAGACTGTGGGGATACCTCATCTGGTTTGCCTGTTTCGGTACCCAGACCCGTCTGCTCTCAAAGCAAATTGTGAAGATGTATCGAGCGAGGCGCTGCTTTCAGCACTCCCAAAAAAAGAGCCGCCAGGGAGTTTGCACGGGCCCGTTCGCGCCCAGCTTGTCGGAACGCCCCTCGCGGTGGGCCTGCTTGGGTGCCCAGACTCGGAGAACGATTCGGAAAACGATCCGGGATGAACAGATGGTCCTTGGAGAAGGGTCGGGACTCCTGAGGGCCCGCATTGAAAAAACATCGGCTGCCCTGGGGGGCGATCGCCACTGCGAAAAAAAACGAGGAGTCGGTGTCGATCTTGGTCACCGTTCATCGCGGTCAGCTTCAATTCGTGGATCATCCTCGCGGATCGGCGACGGCCGGCATGGACCGTGACCACGATTGGCGTCAACAAGATCCCGCAACATCGTGGTCGTCGTCCCCGTTTTTCTTCCCTCGAGAGAAGGACCTTGCGGACCTGCTGGCCCAGCCCCTGCTTGTGTGCATTCTCAAATCAGATGGCGCGGGTCTGGGAGGACCCAGACATCTTCCGGGCATGATTTATTCAATCCGCGGCGCAAGATGTCCCCGGGTCCGTCAAAGCACGACCCCGAATGAAAAACGAGCCCTGGAGACCTCCCAGGACCCTGTACTGAACAAAAACAATACATCAGCCAGCGTTGACTCCAAATAGATAGCCAGCTGAGGGAATGTGACCGTGTTCTCTAAAAAGAGGGGGGGGAGGGGGGGGCCATTGGAAATAGGGGGGGGGGCCACTGGAAAAAGAGGGGGGGGTCCTAAAGACCAATTGCTTATGATGAGCCGGGGCTCCCATAGGGCAAGCCTATCTGGAGAACATCGGACGTGTGGGTCAGGAGCGCCGAACAGAGCGGAGGGGCTGCTCGGGCCACGGCAGGCCTCGGCCACGACCAGGCTCCGCAGAACCCGTCCCCGAGGAGTGGCCCGCAAAGCCGAGGACCCCCCCGAACCCAAAGCGCTCCTTGGTTATTTCGGCATCTCTGAAGGGGCCCTGGGACACACAGATGAAGAAACACAAACCACAGGATTCTCAATAGTTTCCTATATTGTCTGGGATTTTGTCTTCCTCCACTTGCTATTCTCCCATATTTTCTGGAGAATCGACGATTAATTGTGTCTCTGCTTTTTTCCCCTCCCGAGTCTCGACCGTATGCTGTACAAGCGCGCTCCACTACTCGCAGAGTAACTGCTCGCAAGCGGCCTGGATCCGCCCGCGGGGGATCCACGACAAGTTGCATCGAAGCAGACACGTCTTTGTTCGGACGTTTGCGAGTAGGCACTTTGCGAGTAGCGGAACGCGCTCGGGGATATGCGTCGACCAGCATCACCACCAGCATCATCAGACCCCTCGCTGCAGAATCGGTCCGCATCGAATCGCCGAACCGGACCGAGTCGGAACCTACGTCCGAGCGGGCCGCCTCGGCAGGCAGTCGGAATCGAGTCGAGCCGGCCGTGCCCTGGTGCGCAGCAAAGCCGTGCAAGCGTCGGGCTGCATGGGATCGCCGGACTCTCGGAATCGAATCGGATCGGGACGGACGAGATGGACATCGGGGTAGCTCGATCGGGTCGAGATGGACACTGCAATGAAAGAGAGTCCAAGAGGCTTCCGAGACGACGAGCGCTCTCCCGAGGGGCCCGGGAGGCCTCAAGAGCCCCAGGGAGGCTCCCTGGGAGCGCACGAGGCTCCAAGAGAGGCCCCAGACAGCCAAATTCACATAAGACATACTCTTCCCTATTCTATTATGTTTGCTGCCTAGGTCGTCTAACCTCGCACATCGCGCCCCGTGACGCGCGACACGCGGAAGTCTTCGCGCCATCGCGCTGCCGCCCTGGAGAAGGCCAGCTCCCCTACCCAGGCCGCATCGCGCAAAGCGCGATTACCTTCGCGCCCCTGGGGGGGGACCAAGGCTGCCCACCTTTTCTGGTCCCGCGCAGCCACAGGAATGCCACTATCCCCAGCATCGTCGTGCTCGTCATCGTTACTGCCATCGGCATCGCCAGCTCCGTCCTTTCGTCTTTCCCTTTTTCCTCCACATCATCATTCCACCTCTCTTCAGTCGTGTCTTCTCCCTCATCATCTTCGTTTGCCTGGGCCAGTCGGAGGTAGCATGGCTAGCTCAAGCATAGGAAGATCGAGTGCAAGGAGAGGAGTGAAGACAAAGAGCAGCAAAAACGAGGACCGAAGCTCACAGCACCCTGGTGGGTTCAGTACGCGGCCACCCATGGTCGTCGCCCTCCTCCTCCTCCTCCTCCTCCTCCTCCTCCTCCTACTCCTCCTCCTCCTCCTCCTCCAGACCTCCTGGTCCTGCCCCACCGTGCCGCGCCCCAGGAAGCAGCCTTGCAGGTCTCTCAAGACCAACTTTGCAGAGCGCTCCAGGCTGTAGAACTGGGCCAGCATGACGGAAGAGGGCCAACCGGCCATGATCCTGACTCGCGGGCGCAAACACTCGGCTTCTTCCCT